CAAAACTAAGCTAGGCTAAGGTATGAAAAGGGAAGGAAAGGAAAGGTAAGGTAAGGTAAGGGAAGGTAAGGTAAGGTAAGGGAAGGGAAGGGAAGGGAAGGGAAGGAGGAGCAAGGACGACATTCGAGACAGCGCGGAAGGGCATGAGAGGGTACGGTCGGTCACCTTCGCCTTGAGCAGCTGGAGGAGGCTGCTCAATATGAGCTCAGGGCGGTAGCAGGCATACAGGAAGGCAGCGGGGGGGACGCGAAGGTCGTCGGCGACAGAACCGTCTCTCTCCTCCCCTCTGTCGCATCGCAGATGCCTAGGGAGAAAAGAAAGATCCAACTCCATGACCTCCAGCCCTCTACTCGCCGCCTCGTCCATCAAGAGCTGCAAGCTCAACTCAACCCCCCCCCCACCTCACTTCCTCTTCCACCTTCCCTTCCCCCCCCCTCCTTCCTCCCCCTCACTTCCTCCTTCCCCCGCCCCCCCCCCGCACTTCTCCCTTTCACTCCTTTCCTTCCTGGTCTTGCTGCTCCTGCTCCTGCTCTCCTCCCTTCTAAGTACTCTCTCCCTCTACTCCCTGATTTTTGTCTCACCACCACTACCTCTCATACTCCTCCTGATCCTCCTCCCCCTCCTCCTCCAAATAGCACCCCCCCTCACCTGGTCAAGCATCGGCCAACGCGACACGTAGGCGAGGAGGAAGCAGGCTTGCTCTGTCTGTTTCATCACAAAGAGGGCGGCGTCCAGGAGGAAGGGGATGGTCTCGGCAGAGTAGACGACGTCAGCTCCGAGGACAAGCTCGAACTTGTCTTGCAGTCCCATCAGCTGCAGTCTGAAAACATTCAAGTCCGATCGCTGCTGCTGGTACAAGAGACAAGACTATTCACCTCTCCTTTTCTTGATCCTGCTGCTGCTGCTGCTGCTGCTGCTGCTGCTGCTGCACCCCTCCCTGCTCCTCCTCCTTTGCAGCGGGCAACTTCATCCAATCAAGCATCTGGACCGAGACCTGGCTGACAATCACGTTCCCGTACCCTCCCTCTCTCGATCCACGTACTTGACACTTGTCGGGTATCAGCTCGTTCTTGTTCAGCTCGACGTTTGCCTTCAACCTGTCCAGCACCTTTCCAGCACCATCATCATCGTCCTTCCCTCTCTCCCTCCTCCCCCCTCCTCCTCCCCTTTCCTCCCCGTCTTCTCCATAATCGCTCCTCCCCTCCCCTCCCCTTCACCATCCTTCTCTCGCCCGTCTCTCCCCTCCTCTCACTGTCCCACCCCTATCCCTCATCCCTTCAGCACCTTGGGGTTATGGTCCGTTAGCACCAGCGATCTGCAGCTTCGAGCGGCAAGGAGGCCAGGGATACCGATCCCTGCTCCTAGCTCAACGACCTGTCTGACCTGCTCAGCAGCTCTCCTCCTCCTCCTCCTCCTCCTCTCTCACATCCTTGTCCTGCAGAAGCTTCCTGCCCTTGTCCGAGAGCAGGAAGTGGCAGAGAAGAGGTGCTGCGGGCCAGACCACCTGCTCCACATCGTCACTCCTCCTGCTCCTGCTCCTGCTCCTGCTCCTGCTCCTGCTCCTGCTCCTCCTGTGACAAGCTCACCTGCCCAGTCTCGTAGAAGTCTTCGATCGCATCGCCGATGTGTGCCCTCACCCTGATCTCTCTTGGAGCCACTCTACCATGTCCTTGCCCTGCGCTTGCCACCCCGCTGCCCTGCTCCTGCTCCTGCTTCTGCTTCTGCTCCTGCTCCTGCTCCTGCTCCTGCTCCTGCTCCTGCTCCTGCTCCTGCTCCTGCTCCTGATCTATCCGCTTCCCTTCGTCATCTGTCCAGGAGGAAAGATCTTGGAACACAAAAGTCTTGGCGTCGCCAAACATACTCACTCTACCTCATTTCACTTGCATCTGAGGGCAACTATCAGTCTTCACACCCACAACAACAGAGGGAGAAACATGAAGATGGCAGTCAAGAATTTCACAACCATCCTCAATCCTCCATCCTCCTCTCCTCTCCTCTCCTCTCCTCTCCTCTCCTCTCCTCTCCTCTCCTCTCCTCTCCTCTCCTCTCCTCTCCTCTCTTGTTCTCCGGCCTAT